AAGTATGACTACACTTTGAAATACAAGCCAGGAAAGGAGCTAGTGCTTCCGGATATGCTCTCTAGAGCACCACTGCCTGAAACAGCATATGGCAGCATGGAAGAAGAAATTGCACTACATGTCCATTTGCTAACTTCTAACCTACCAGTCTCGAAGCCCAAACTAGAAGAAATTAAAGAAGCCACAGCTAATGACCCATCATTGAAAGAACTGAAGGATGCGATCAAGTCAGGATGGCCAGAAACAAAATCTTGCACACCAGCAAGTATTCATGTCTACTGGAATGTAAGAGATGAGCTCTCTGAAGTCCAGGGTGTTCTTCTCAAAAATGACAGAATACTAGTCCCGTCATCTATGAGAAAAGAAATGCTACAAAGGATACATCAAGGCCACATGGGGATCGAAAAGTCCAAACGATGAGCAAGAGATGTCCTATACTGGCCAGGAATGAATTCTCAAATCAGCGACATGATATAGAGGTGCACCACCTGCTTAGAGCATCAGCGGCAAAACACGAAAGAGCCAATGATCCCTTCTCGCTTACCGCGCAAGCCCTGGGAAATGGTCGCCACAGACTTGTTCACCTGGGACAAATCTGAATACCTGATAGTTGTTGACTATCACTCCAGATATTTTGAAATAGCCAAACTACCAGACACCAAAAGCACCACAGTCATCACCTATACTAAATCTATATTTGCCAGACATGGAATACCATCCGAAGTAATCAGTGACAATGGTCCCCAGTACCCCTTAAAGGACTTTTCAATGTTTGCTAAACAGTGGGAATTCAAACACACTACTGTCAGTCCACTGTACCCCCAAGCAAATGGTCTTGTTGAGAAGGAAGTACAAACAGTGAAAAATCTACTAACCAAAGCAAAACAAGATCGCAGGGATCCTTATTTGGGACTACTTGAGTACAGGAACACACCAATAGATGACAATGGTTCACCAGCGCAACTGCTTATGAGCCGGGGATTAAGATCAATCATTCCCACTACCAATGCACAGTTGCAGCCTAAAGTCCTTGATCCACACAGAGTTATGGAGGCTCACACAGGAAAAACAAAAGCACTATTTTGATCGGCATGCCAAACATCTTCCCACATTAGAGAAAGGTGACCGGATCAGAGTACAAATGGGGAGCCATTGGAAACCAGGCATTGTAACAGAACACGCAGAAACACCAAGATCCTATAGGATTCGAACTGATGAAGGTAGAGAATACCGCAGAAATAGAAGAGCGTTAATAAAATCACCAGAAAGTGGTCTATCAGCAACCGACATCTCACCTCATCATAAGTCTCCAACCGTGAGAGCAAATGAGCATTCAACCTCAGAGGAAGCAGCCAATCAAGCAATCCCATCTGTTGAAGAGCCCATTTTGACATCCCAAGAGCAAGGGGAAAAAATTCATCCGAAATGGAAGAACTGTGAGAAGGCCTTTGCGTTTCAAGGTCTATGTTATGTGACACTGAACTCATCATTGATATGGAAGGTTGATAAACATTGTTTCGAAGGTTCTGTTAGTCACAGTTTGCAAATTTCTCACAAGTTGAAATTAGAGGGAACATTATGAACTTTACATGAAATTGTTGTCCTTTTGACATTAGACCGTATTACCAATCTTGGTATCAAGGTGTACTTATCCTTTTTGTTTATTTGTTTTCTTTTCGTTTTTGTTAGGGGAAAGTTGTAATGATCAGCGGTATTTTGTATGAGTGTAAGCGTGCGCATGGACGACCGGGGTCAGCCATGTTGGAATAAAAAACTTGGATCCTGTTTACTAAGCTGTTTTATCCAGATCCATCGTGCTATCAGATAAAGAACATTACACTCGCAATTTTGGAGTTTGGATTTTTGTGATGTCACTTGAAAACCAAGAAGACCCTCCCAGTGTTTTTCATGAGGTTGAAAAACTCTAATTAACTTCCTAAAATAGAAAATGGGACTAACGTAACGTTCTTGACATTTTCTACAACCTCTATTTTTGAGAAGGGTGAAGACGTAAATAATTGTTTTGTTACTATAAATGAAACACAAAATTGTTCTTCGTGAACCTGCGATGAGTCTCAACCTTGAGCCTGCCCCCCCTGCCCTCACCCTCTTTGGCCTTTTTTTAGTACATGTGTAAATTTAAATGTCGCGATTGAGAGGACAAACATACATGTCTCCTTTACATAGCTTTTTTGCAGTGGGCTCGGACATCAGCATACTAAGGGCGCCGATGGCAGCCGCTATCAGTCCATTTATGAGCCCACTGAACCCTCCCAACCCATGATGAGTGATGATGTAAGTGATGAAGATAGACCACAACACCGTGAACTACGTCCCCTACTCTTTTCGAATAGTGTGTGGGTTCTTTAACGTCCCACATAGTTATATGTGAACAAGGTTTGTGAGACGGGACCTCCGGTTTATCGTCCTTATCCGAGAAGACTTGAAAGTCTAATCATTTGCAGATGTCATTACAAAGACAGCACTTTCTCCTCAGTTAGTTTTAAGACCCTGAGTGTTGGTCCGGCCAGGATTCGAACTCGAGACCTCCCGCTCAGCAGACCGGCGCTCTCCCAACTGAGCTAACCGGGCAGCGGTGCTGCACCACGTGACTCTGCTATTTGATTTTATCAAATAGTATCAAGAGATTTGAGGTTTACATCGAAAGAGAGATTTGAGTCATTACATTTCCTTTTTTGACAGGTAAATATATAGCCTTAATTCGTGGCAAGCCTTTTTGTTTTTGTTTCTTTATGTATTTACGCCAAACGGCGAAAAATCTATTTTGTGGTTAAAAACTGCACTACTGCTGTTCGCAAATTGATCGTAGTCTCATGATCATACCAAAACAACAATGTAAAATGGTCTAAAGTGAGCAACAGTGCTATCCAAAATGACCTAATATGAGCTTCAGCGGTGTGAAAGACAATCAGCAGTCATCTGTAGAGCTGCCAGACAGAACACTGTATCTTCTACATCTATCAAAGTTACTCAGTTTTCCTGGGTTAACAGAATTTTACCCGGCCATCGATCATCTTTCTATTGTACAAGAACACACAACTACCCACAATTAGCTTGTAAGTCAAGCCTGTTGTTTCAAAACCAAAGGAGAATTCTGCAAAATTATTTGTGTATCGGTTTTTCGTTATAGATGAACTTAAGCTGCACAACTAATTATAGAATTGACCATATAAGACTTTTACATGAATAGAATTCCATATGTGCAGTGGTATGCAGGGTAATAATGGGCTTTCAGTAAAGACGTTATGCATATCTGTCAATTCCAGCTTGCCCTGCCCCCCTCCCCCCTGGGCTAATGCTGCGCATTTGCCCACCTTGTAAGTTCATGGGGTGTGGGGCATTTGCAAACTTTGCATGCATTTCTTCATTGCTTATCAAACATTTCTTTGAAAATGAAGAAATGATCGTCGCAGTGAACGCAATTTATGCAATTGCGTAATGAAGCCTTAAAAAAAATTCACGATTTCAACCCGTGACCTCGCGATACAGGTGCGATACTGTACCAACTGAGCTATGGAGCCACTGTTGTTGGGAGCAGGTCAATTGTGGGTTCATAGGTTCCCGTGAAAAAAATGAGTGTTCATGACATATGAAAAATTATATATGAACTTCGGAAATGAAATGAAAATGAAATGAAAATGAAATGGTCGTCGCAGTTAACGCAATTTATGCAATTGCGTAAAGAAGCCTGAAAAAAATTCAGGACTTCAACCAAAAATGAAAAGCTTGAGTACGGATAAGGAGAATGGTTCTCTGAGTGGCGTACACAAGACGTCGGCGACAGCATCAAAGGCGCCCTTAAGCTTCGCAGCGTTCTGACCAAGGAAGGAAGATGATCACTCAAAGTATTTCAAGCCATCTGTAGGAAAAAGGCTGAAAAATATGGGAATCCATAGTCTTCCTCATATAGAATTTTTTTGGGATTCCAATATTTTTGTTGGCATGGATGGGTTCAAGCAGCGCTTCAAAACTCTGGGGAGATATTTACATTTGGTCGGCCAGAGCAATGAAGATCCAGCTCACCTCCTCTGCAAAGTTCGATCTCTGGTAACGCTTTTAGAACAGAGGTTTGCCGATGCTTAGATACCTGAAAAAAAAGTTTCGGTGGATGAAGGTTTAGTAAAATTCAACGGGAGGCTGTCTTTTAAACAGTACATGCCAATGAAGCCGGATAAATTTGGCATCAAAGTTTGGATGCTTGCCAATGCAGACAACTACTATGTTCCACGGTTCCAAGTCTACTTGGAAAAAAAATCGCACGAACAGTGAATTGTTTCAGCGGAAAGGTTTGGGCGTTTGGACACTCGGAGAACCCTATTTAGACAATCACTGTCATTTTTTCTTTGACAATTTCTTTACTTCAGCGGAACTGACGCGAGATTTAGAGTCAAGAGACACGTAGGCGTGCAGCACTATACGCACAAACAGGAGAGAATTTCCTGTGGACCTCAAGTGACAAAAACTTGTTGTTGGAGAGATAAGAACACATCAGAGTAGAAATTTACTGGCGATGATGTGGAAAGACAAACATGTTGTTTCTCTATTATTGACAAATACTCCTCCAGAACCTGAAATTCACGCTGTTCAGCAGGTTGTGTGGGGAAGAAGAAAGTGAGTGGTCCCCGCAGAGGCAATGAGGAAACCCGAAGTGGTGCCTATTTACAACCATGGCATGAATGGAGTAGATGTGAACAACCAATGAACAATTGAACAACCAACGTCAGAGCTATTATCCTCCTGGCTCAGTTTCTCGAAAGTGGTGGAGATACTTACTTTGGTTTTTCTTTAATTTGTCAATGGTATAATAAGGTAGAGAAATCATTTATTAATGAAGATTAATAAACTAGTAAAAGAGATATCGAATGTCCCTTAAAATCGATCGCGTGGTTTGGCGTCTCATCTTTTGTGAGAACCGGAGAGAGGAGGCGTAAGCTCTTAATCATTCACGTTTTCTTTTTCTCCACGCTCTTTTTGTTGCGATGTTGCTCTCTGCAGGCGCACGTCCCAAACGCAAGTCTAAGAAGGTGTTAGATCCAGACTTTCAGTGTGAATTGCCTTTGAGTGCGTTTCTTCACGACGATATCAATATCAAGGAGCAAAGTAATCCTGCGACGTACGATCAGTCTACCAAACAGTCAACTCTGTCATCTAAACCCAAGTGTGCTGCAGCACTTTCAGCTTCCTCATCGCCCATCACTATCGACGATACTGCCTCGTCTGCTCTCTCTTTTGATCAGCAGCTTCAGCTGGTCCAACTCAAGAAGGATAAGCTTGAATTGGAATTGAAAGTACTCTCTATAAGCTGCCAGGAACCCCCTCCCGATAACACGCTTGCAGATCGCTCTCTTCAAGATGCTGCGGAAACCACCAAGCCTCAATGCAATAAGCCTAACATCGATTGGCCACAGGATTTTGTTCCTTCTATTCAAGGTGAATATGATAAAATAGAACTGCCTGAATTCATTTCGGTTTTTTTGATCATGATAAAATCCTATGATACGGCATCAAAAGATGCAATGCTAGCTCATCTCGAGTTACTCACAATCAAAGCAATTAGCTACTCGTGGGTTGGCGTTCGTGCTTTTCACAAATTTATCACGAAACAGGTCAAGCAGCATCGTTTTTGGATTGGAAAGATTTTAAGTCTATTCAGGATCAGGCCACCACTTTTTTCCGCCATTCAGATTTACGTACTTCGCACCAATGCACAGCCGAGGACGCTTGGCTATCTTCTAACACTGCCTCCACTGGCAATTATTCACAAGCGGTTAAACCCTCTGTTACCAAGGCTTGTCGAGCTTGGAATTATACCAGCGTTTGCGACTGTGATCAGCAAGTAGAGTGTGCAAGGCTGATCATCCTATGCTACGCTGCGCTAAACGTCGTACACCGATTTCCTCGCAATGACAGCTATTCGACAATGCCACTCATTTTGCAACCTCTTTGACCCGGAACGGACTTGGACAAGAAACTTTTAACACTTCAGCCGTCACACGACATTTAATTGCTTTTCGCCATAATCAACCAAATGCATTCGGTGCAAAGCTTTTAGTTCCTACCTCACTCTTACTACCAAACTGGAAAACATTGCTCTCAAATTATTTGCATAGTATTGTGATCGATTTCCTATCTTACGGTTGGCCTATCAATTATACTGCACCTACATTTCCTGCTTCATCATTACGTAATCATCCTTCTGCTTCGAACTATGATTCTCATGTGCAAGCCTATATTGACAATGAATTATCCTGGAATGCCATCGCTGGACCGTTCCAGTATCCTCCCCTTTCCAATGACTTTGTTTGCTCTCCTCTTCAAACAGTTCCCAAGAGGTTCACATTACGGAACGGCGCCTGTAGATCCATGTCGCCCGCAAAATCGCGGGTCCTATGACTATTTGCCCACTCACAAAGGAAGCCAACGCATGTCGCGTCCTTTGATTCAAGACTCAAGTGTTAAGGTATTGTTTTCGCGATACAAAGGTAATTTAACTTAAGAAAATCTATAGATCGAAGCTTTCGCGCTACTCTCTGTTTTACAAGGAAATGCAAATGCTCAACTTGATAAATATTTTGACTTCATAAGATATTTTAACACTTTAGGCCAGCAGAATGTATAGAATTCCAGAAAAAACAATTCAGGAAGCCAAACGGTTTTGAACTGCGCTAGACGTTGTTTTTATCAGTATGCAAATCACCTACCCAATCACGTACTTTCCATCGAACTGAAATATCCTGACTTTTTTTACCACTTTTCGATTTGATTCGTTTCATTTTATATTATTTTGTGCAAGCTGAGCTCTTCCATGCGAATTTACGCTTTCAAAGGGAAAAAAACTTCGAGGAAACGTTGTGTTTACAACCACGGCAATTTGCATCTATTTCGCTTCACTTACACTTATATGCAAATTACTGTTCGTCCGCCGGATTTCGCTGGAGACAAAAATATCGATTTTGAATTCGCAAATGCTTGCCTTTTGGGCACCCTTTTTATTTTGGCTATCAAGATTTTCAAAGCTAAGCTTTAGACTTTTCATTCCAACGTTTTAATGCGAGACAGAAGAAATGCTGCAACTGATTATAGTCACACAACACGCTTTAAGACCGCATAACTTGATCTTTCTGTTATCTTTTGTTCTTCTATTGTCTCCAAAACAATAACGATGTTTCACCAATTTCCACCCACAAATAATAGGACACATTTGATTGACAGAAAAATTTGCATTTACTAACGACGCATTTCTACAGGCGCGATTCCGTAATGTCAACGAGACGGGTAGTTATGGACCTTAGCTTTCCTCCAGGCTGCTCCGTCAATGACAGTATTCCTCAGGATACTTATCTGGGCGAATATTACAAGTTATGATTACCTGGGATTGACAGGCTTGTCGAATTCATCCTTGAAAAAGGTCGTCACTGTCTTGTTTTCAAGAAAGACTTAAGCCGAGCTTATCATCAGTTTCCCATTGATCCGAAGGATTACCATTTGCTTGGTTTTCATTATCAGGGCAAATTTTATTTGACAATCACTGTCCTTTTGGTTTACGTTCCTCGGCAATGATCTGCACCGAGCAGGGGTTCTTAGCAGATGTTTATCTTGATGACTTTTACAGCGCTGAATATCCATCCCTCGCCGCTTCAGCATTTTTCTCAACTAAGCCAGTTGACAAGGATTCACCACCTTTGACCTCTATGAATTGTCTCGGAATTTTAGTTGACACAGTTGCCTTCACTCTCGAGGTTCCTGCTACACATCTAACAGATTTACAAGCCGAATTAACAACCTGGCAAGTTGCTTCATTTTTCACCAAGAAACAGCTTCAGTCTCTTCTTGGGAAGCTCTCCTTTGTCACCGTGTGTGTTAAACCTGGTAGAATTTTTATGCCTTGACTACTCAACAGTCTCCGCGAGTGCACACAGCCAGCTGGTCACCGTTATCCTATTTCCGCTACTATGCCCTTGGACATTCAGTGGTGGCTACTTTTCTTCCACAGTTTCATCGTGTTTCTCTTATTAAGCCTTCCTTCTGGGACTTCGAGAGCTTCAATTTTCCACCGATGCCTGTCTTCATGGTGGCGGCGCCACTTGTCGCAGGGAGTGCATTAGCTTTGTTTTTCCTGATTGCACTTCGCCCTCTAGCTAACTATGGAGTTGTAGTACCGCTGCCTGCAGAACTTGCGCTCACAGTTCACTCGGTTCCCCAGGAATTGAAACATTGGCTGATTATTTTCCACGAGAGCCCTTTGCCGCCGTCTGATTATTCAAGGCTGGATTAACCCCGGCGGGTCTCTAGAGTGGATCGTTTAAGATCGCAAGGGCAGTACACTATCCAGACCATGTTGGATTATTGACTGAAAGGGTCCTTGGAGACAGTAGAATTGATGACCACGACTGCAGCAGAATTATCGCACCTGATAATGAATTTGCATCCTGACAACTGAAGCACCCAGTGCTTGAGAGCAGCAACAATCCTGAAAAGTTCCAGGGCGGCGATATGAAGAGTAGCTTAAGGAGTGCAAACCGTCTGCTTGGTGGAAAGAAGTTAAGAAGCTGAGCAGCATGTCATCAGCCGTTAGGGACTCGGATGAGCTAATGAGATCATTACAGCACATAAGTGAGGGGTCTCTCAGCGCCTCGGATCTGGACAATCTGATCAACGATACTTTCCTCTCCCCAATGCAAGACTTTACACCATTATCTGCTGAAACTTTCCAGCTGCCGTAAGACTATTCCACCGTGCAACCATTTGCCGTTACTGCGCATGCTGTTTACCTTCAGCTAGCGTCGATTAACCCTAGGAAAGCGTCCGGACCCGACGGTATTCCTGCAAGGTTGCTAAAGGAAAATGCGTATCTCCTCTCTGATACGGTAACATATTAACTGCTGCTTTGCTGAAAGCTGCTTACCACCTTCTTGGAAATCTGCTGATACCGTGCCGATCCCAAAGCAGAAACCACTCAAGGACGTAAATAAACACCTGCGTCCCATCTCATTAACGCCCATTCTCTCTAAGGTGGTGGTGGAGTTTGTTGTTGCGGAGCACTTGCGACCATCAATTCTCAAGAAAATCGGAGACAACCAATTCGGGGCTATCCCAGAATCCTCAACAAGGCATGCGCTAATGAATATGGTGCACTCCTGGACCAAACACACTGATGGTACAGGATCCACCCTCAGGGTTGTTTTATTCGATTACCGGAAGGCTTTCAATTTGATAGATCACCCGCTTCTCGCCAGGAAGCTGCTGGCCCTGGACATGCCGGTTGGCACATCGTTTTGGATCATCAATTTCCTTACAGATCGCACACAGACAGTCAAATTGGGAGAAGATTGCTTGTCTGAATGGAGGAACGTACCGGCAGGGGTGCCTCAGGGAACCAAGCTCGAGCCATGGCTGTTTATTCTCATGATTGATGACATCAACACCAGTAACACGGAACTATGGAAATAGTGCATGACACAACTATTGCAGAGTGTGTTGACAAGAAGGAAGACAGCCGTATCCAATCTGATGTGGAGGAACTGATCGCTAAGTCTAACCAAAACAAGTTCCAGCTAAACGAGTCGAAGTGTAAGGAACTACGCATTTCGTTCCCTAAATCAGCCGCAGACTTTGCTCCCATTGTTATCAACGGGAAAGCAATAGAGGTAGTGCCCACTGTTAAGAGTGCATCCACGATACGACCAGGCAGGGTCGGCACAAGCCATCTAACCGATTTCGATGAAACTTGGCCAGTTTGAAGGGGTCCACCCAAAACTACTTCACTCCAAGTTTAAAGAAATTTGGTCGAAACCGGGGGAAGTTGACACCCCCCCTTGTTTTTAAAATGACCAAAAAACACCTAAAAATTGGTCAAAAGTATTAAAGCTCTACTGCTAAAAGAATTCCATCAAATCTTTTCATTTTTTCAGTGAAAGTTATCCTACCCAAAGACAATTTATTGTAACTGTTTCGTTCTTCTACGACAAGTTCCTATGACACAAGTCATCTCAGCCAAGACCCCCCCTCTCACCCAATAGTGAAAACTGTTGAAATATCCAAAGTTTAGGCCAAAATATCTCCAATGCCGGAGCATGCTTCAGAAAACGGAGCATACCGTTTAGACGACGGGACTTCATACTATTAATATCTGCAAAAAAATCTTTGGGAACTCATTTAATTATTCCACAGGAAGACTGCAAACACGTCGTCCGCCACAGGGTACCAGTGTCAATTTTGTTCTCATTATAACGCGCTAATTCGGTAATTATCGCACAACAACGGACAAACAATGCCACAAAATGATTACACGCCATACACTTTAATGAAATGGAACCATTTCTAATTGCCTAAATAAAAAAAGGGCCCACCACAGGGTACCCACGTCAATCTTTCTTTTTTCGTTTCATTATAGTGCGCTAATTCGGTAATGATAACGTAGCAACAGACAGAAAATGCCTCAAAATGGTTACACACTATAAACTTTAATGAAATTGAACCAACTGAAAAGCTTTAGTTTGTCCTAAGCCATGAGAATAAGAATTGCCGGCCTTATGATGACCTCTATTATTGTATAAGTGAACTTCGTGACGAAATTTACTCTTCGCTAAGTCAAACACCTGAGTCACAGAACACTATCAAAATTACATTGTCTGTATTTGAACTTTCGAATGATTGATAATAAAATTTGCTTTTGTTCGTCTGGTAAAGGAATAGTACAATTGCTTGAAACTTGCACGCCACATTGCATCTTGATACAGAAAACGTTATCCAAAAGAATTCCCTTTTCTGAAAATAAATTGTTTTATTAATATATACACAAGTGGAAAGGAGTTTTTTTTCCTTCCTTTTTTTTGGCGGG